CCGAACAATACTCGTACTTAGTGTACCTAAATCCCTAGATTTCCTAGCCCTATCAATATTTGACCCTGCGCGTAGGGTAAATATACATATATAGATAGTGTATGAAGTCTGTACTTATATAGAGAGAGAAACAAGCTAAGAAACCGCTGTCGAGGCTGTAAAATTTGAGGGTTTCCCTCGATTTCTCTAGGATCCCATCATCAGACCCCGACTTCGTGATAATGAGTAGTCTCATTATCATGAAATCGAGTTTGAGAAAATCGGTTCACAATTGTCGAAGAATCGCGTATAAAAACACATAAAAAAATCTCTAGCTAGGTAGTAGAACCTCCTCTTTTATATTTTTGAAGTCGGTTTAAAATACATAATATTGACCAATTTATTAACAAAATACCTTTCTGAAAATATGTAGAAGACAATAATGGAAATTGGTGCATTACTTTTCGACCCCCGATGCAGTAAGACGGTGTCGTATGTTTGACGTGTCTGTATGTCTGTCTGTGCTGCTCCTAAATGAATGGACCGATTGTAATGTGTTTTTTTCTCTTTAAAAGCTGATGTGATCGAGATTAATCTTAGTTATAAATTGTAAAGATAATCAGCTAATTTCTTAGTTGATAACGGGATCTCACTAAATGACACAACTCAGATTGATTTGAAGTTTAGTCTACTGTTACTTTACTGATTTTGCCATGATATAGTAACCTTGGTCTGATGCCCTACCAAACCCAAGTATAATTCAAATGCTTCAAATCACTTTTTCTTGACTTTTTTTTTTGTGTCGGGCTCGGACCGACTAAAACCACACGGTGTGCCACTCTGCGCCTGTAACAGGAGGGATCCGGGAACAGCTGTTGTTAAGACATCCGGACCCCTCCTAGCGCCAGCCCGCTCCTGGTGCGGGCTCCGTCTCAATATATTTTCCTCTCTTTAGGCGACGTCCGGCACACGCGGACGCCGCCCCCTCGCGGCTGGCCAACTAATGCGGGTGGAGGGGAAACCCACCCCGTCCACCCGCGGCCACACTCAGGGCGGCATGAGGCTGTGATAGGCGGGCCTCCGCCGCCCGGTTCGCCGGCGGCGGATCGGGTCCGAGTGGAGGTCGTCCTCCCGGGCCCTCTCCGCCGCCTCCTTCCGCGAGATTACTACCTCGCAGAAGGTTGCAACCGCGGTAAAACAACTGTCGCTACCGGCCATGGAGCGTACTACGGTCGGTAGCGAGAGATCCACTCCGATGACTGCAGTGAGGGCCCGGCGCTGCGCCGCCCATGCGGGGCAGACCGCCAGCGTGTGCTGGGCCGAGTCCTCACTGCAGTCGCAGTGTTGGCAGGCGGGACTCAGTTCCCTCCTAGCGACCGAGTGCAGGTACTTTCCGAAGCAACCGTGCCCGGAAAGCACCTGCGTCAGCCGGAAGGAAAGGGTCCCGTGCTGCCGCCCTGCCCACTCGGCGATGACCGGCTGGAGAGCCTCCACGGCGGCGAAGCCAGCGCGTGGAGTCTCCAGCCGGAACGACCAACGAGTCATCGTGGCTCGGCGAGCGGCTTCGCGCCACTCGCGCACATCCTCGGGCGGAGGGCGAAATCCGCTCTCCGCCCGGGAGTCAGCCACTCGCCGATAAACTTCGGCGAGCACTTCCGCCTCCAAATCCCACGGGGGAGTTCCGGCCAACGCGCATGCCACCTCCGTCGAAACGGTGCGGTAACCGCGTATGGCTCTGACCGCCATTACCCTCTGAGGGCGCCAGAGGCGTACCCTATTCTGGGCGGTCAGAGCCGCCGCCCACACCGGTGCACCGTACAGTGCCATTGACCGGACAACCCCCGTGTACAGCCGTCTTGTTGCGACGCTGGGTCCACCCATATTGGGCAAAAGTCGCCCTAGGGCAGACGCAGCGCCGACCAGCTTTGGAGCAAGCTGTCGGAAGTGCTCGTCGAAGAGCCACCTCCCGTCGAGGATCAGGCCCAGATATTTCATCTTTGCCCGAACCGGTACGAGGACCGAGTTGACCACGATTGAGGCGCCAGGGGGTGGACCACGACGGGGCCCATGAAATAACAGGGCCTCCGTCTTATCTAGGGCCACCCGTAAGCCCAGCGCCTCAATGCGCCCGACCACCAGGGAGACTCCCCCTGTGGCCAGGCGCGCCGCCTCTTGGAAGTTTGCCCCCCGGGCTGTCACCAGGGTATCGTCTGCGTAACAGATTACACCCAGCCCGGGGGGGAAATCGGCGCGAAGGGCCCAGTCGTACCCTATGTTCCACAAGAGGGGTCCAAGAACAGACCCCTGTGGAACACCGCACGACATGGGCCGACTCCTCAAATTACCTTCTCGGTCCTCGTACACGACGGTACGCTCCTCTAAATAGTCTGCCACTAGCCGCCTCAGGTACTTTGGCACCCCATGATAGTGGAGTGCTTCCCTGATGCAACTGAATGGCAGACTATTGAATGCGTTGGCGATGTCTGATGACACCGCCAACAGCACGCCGCCACAGCTCACGGCCTCTTCGGTCACGGCCCTCAGGCGCAACACGGCGTCGACCGTCGAACGCCCCGCCCGAAAACCAAATTGGGCGTCCGACAGATCGGGGCCCACCTCGCAGAGGTGCCGGACGATGCGGGCAGAAAGAACCCTCTCAAACAATTTACCCGCCTCGTCCAGCAGCACGATGGGCCTATAGGCCGCGATCGAATCGGCAGGCCGTCCCGGCTTCCTCAATAGGACCAGCTTCCCGCTCTTCCAGCACTCAGGGAAGCGTCCCGACGCCAAGCTAGCGTCGAACACCTCCCCGAGGCGGTCTGCCATGTGGTTGAGGGCCAGGGCCAGCACTCGGGCCGGTACCCCGTCAGGCCCAGGGGCGGTGTTCTTGGAACGGATCCGTAGAACAGCCGCCCCTACCTCCGATCGTGTCATTTCCCTACCTTAACCTCGCTAAACAATTTACTATTCTTTATTTATTGCTTTTACAAACAGTAGTGTTTTACTGTAATATTTATTCAAAATACTTGATTTGAGTAAGTAGTAAAAAACAATTAAAAACTTCAGCAAATCAACAAATAATATTTTTTTAATATATTTTTAAATAGTATGAAAAAAAATATTTTTATAAAAGTTTCACGTTTGTGTTTCAGGAAGTCGCTTGACTATGATGTTACAGTAGATTAATAATGTAAATTACTTAAGACAGGTTTGTATACACAAATATGTATTATTTATTGTTTAATATTACCTTTAGCTTACCTAAATATTCTCCTACTAGAGTTTGACACTTTGAATACGATACGGCAAATATTTTCAATACTTTCTTTATCTTATTACATTGGATGCTAAGAAAGTATAAAATTTGTGAACGTAAGTAGGCGTTGTTTGGGGTTTGACACAAAAAAGTCGTTTCTTCTCTTATCTAAGAATATAGAATTAAATGGTAGTTCTGCATGTTGTTTTAGTATGATGTGCAATACAAATAATTGTCGAACTGTGTGTTTGTGAACACTTTGCTTTCCAGATAGAGTTGATGAGTAAGGAACCTAAATCATAAATGGGCTACAGGTGGCTACTTTTAGTATTGCTCTTTGAGCACGTTCAAGTGGGAGTAAAATGGTCTTAGCAGCGCCACCCCACAAAGTTATGCAATATGGTAGTATCGACTGACACAAAGCCAAACAGGTCTGTTTATTACATAATACTGCGTAAGTTAAAACTCTATGTGTTTGCGAAAATTGAAATTTGTGTCGATTGTGATACCTAAATATTATATTATTTTTACCATAGACGAGCTATAGATTTCACTCATATATTGACAAAAACTTTCAAATATACCTATCACTGAAAGTCAATATTCAATGTCAAGAAGTTCAATGTCAAATCGTGTTGGCGGATGGATCTGCGTTAGTGTAACTAAAATTAGTGTTACGATTATTAATGAAAAGTCATCTACGTCACTATAATATGTCACTATATTAATCAAAAGTCACTTTACAATGCGGAGCCAGATGTTCATTCAGATAAATAGGTCTTGCTGTGCCATCCAGGTTTATATCAGCAGTTGTTAGGCCGCATCTAAAAATATTACTACTACCAAAATGCTTTATTGAGGTTAGGTCTATCTTGGACTTTGGAAGCATTATTTGGAACCCTTTCTACAAGGAACACATAGATCAGTTAGAAAAGGTCCAAAAAAAATTCATAAGAATTCTTAATTATCGCAACTGTGCCCCATCAGGCTCTTATGAGGAATCTTTAGCTCGATATAACCTACTCAGCCTCCAGGATCGGCGCACGCAGTTTGACATAACTTTTCTATACAAAATTTTAAATAACTGTATTGACTCAAATATCATTCTCTTCAAAATTAACTTCATTGATAAACTTCGAGTTCCTGTACGCTCCTCACGTCTCGGTTAGATATTTACACCACTTCGTTCTCGAAAAAGATACTGTCAAAATCATTTTTTCACACGATGCCCAAATAATTACAATTAGAACCTCTCTGGTATAGATTTATTTAGTAACTCATTAATCTTTAAGCAAACGTTATTTGAAATCTTTGTCAAAAAATGTAAATAAAATAATAAACAAATACAATGCAGTCTACGTAATACTGGGTATTACGTAGCCTACATTGTACTCCTTGACACAATTGTTATGATATGGTGTCTGCCCTTGTTTTTTTTGTTTTTTATTCTTCGCTTTTTGTTTAATATGATTTGTTTAACACAGTACGATATGTAAAAACTTGCATAGCATTAATATAATGTACTTCACTCAGTAACATCTGAGACTCATGCAGCTTTCTAAATCAACACATAGACTTTAACTATTACATAAAACGGATTTCGGCACTCGTTGTCTATCTAGTTTTTTTTTGCGAAATAGCTAGAAATACTTAATTATTTTATTTCGGTTACATTATATGAACACCACTCACAATAAAATCATAAGACAGTTAACGTGCATGAAACTTTATTTTGAATATATTAATTAACCTTTCTTCTACTTCTTTATTCCCGCCATTGACTTAGATCGATAAAAGGTAATTGATCACAAGGTATTATTGGATTTCTGTAAAGAAAAGATAGTTATGTTAGGACATTAAAAACAATAGTATACTACATCGATGTTACACAATATATTCATCTCCATTTCGATTTAGTCTCTGAAGTTGATTTTTCGGTAGAGGATATCGGATCATTGGCTCTATTGGGAGGACTTCTGCACAGGAATTGACTATATCACTATCATTCAATTGACTCTTGAGGACTCTTGAACTAGATATGACTAGGTCAATTCCTGTTCACTAATCTTGTCCAGGATTTATAATCTGACCCAAATATTTTGTGTTTCTCAGAAATCCACATAATTTTAATTGCTATTATACTACTACCACTATTAGCCATACTTACTCACAAGACACCAGTTCAAATGCCTTGCGTTGCATGCGATCTATTCCTTTAGTATTATCACAGAGGAAGCGTGCCATGTTCGCGCCCTTGCGTATCGCCTTCAACTGAGCTGTTTGTCAAACACATAAATGTAGATAATTTTTTCAACAACATGTTTACAGTAGAGTATGGTAAAATGTATCCTTTATTTACACTAAAATTAGTAAGGCTTTGATGGTATCTTTAATTACCTTATTATCTTCTGAGTATATAAAGCTATCTCAGAATCTATATACATCTTGATAAATAAATTTGACCCACATGTTGTCATTTCTCTTATATTAAAAATTGGTAATGTAATTAGGGAACATGTGAATGTCATGTCATGTCAATAAAGCAGCAATAAACAAACTTGAACAATCAGGTTGTTTGCTATATATTAGTATACATACTTATCCATACTAATATTATGCAAAAGTGTGTCTGTCTGTCTGTCTATTTTCTCTTAACGCTTAAACCGCTGAACCGATTCAGATGAAATTCGGCATTATAAATTTGTGTCCCGGGAAAGGATATAGGAAAGTTTTTATTTCAGAAATTATCCTTTAATGGGGAAAAATGCGGGTGGAAGTTTGTATGTGGAAGCAATAACCGCTGAACAGATTTACTTGAAATTTGGTATGAAGATAGTGTGATTCTTGAGAAAGACATAGGCTTTTTCTTACGTAGCCGGAGTCGCATGCAAAAGCTAGTAAATAATATATAGCAAACAAGCTGATTGTTCAAGATTCCTAGATCGTAGAGTATGGACACCGAAGTCATGAGTGATGATCGATAGCATATAATAATATGCTATCGATCATTCGAAATAAATATCCTAGTATCCACTCATAAGTGCATTGTATAATTACCTGATACGAGTTTCATTATTAGATGTAAAACTGAGTATCACAATTCAGTTATTAAGATGTTATACTAACTAGTGCTAATTACCTGGAGAAAAGGCGATCTGAGGATCCGCTCCATTCTCATAGAAATATCTGTCTCCAACCCGTGTTCGGTAGAACTGTTTAGTCAAAATGCAGAAGAAGGTAGGGCCCGCTAGGGCTCCAGGAACATGGCGCTCCAAGGAACCTGCTACCACTAAGTCGACATCTTCAAGTGATGCGTACAAGTGTTGCAACAGATCTACATTCTAAACGGAAGTTATTTATTTATTATACAGAGAAAAGTTACTAAATGTGGTCGAGTGCATTGATATGGGCCACTAATAATTTAAAGTTACATTATAGATACAAGTTGCCTCATTAATGTTAATATGTAGAAGACGTACGGAAATCCTCAGTTGTAAACAATTTATCTTATCATCACCATTAACAACCTTTAATAGTCCGCTGCAGAGCATTAGTAGGCCTCTGTTTAGAGAGAAGGTTATGGCCTCCTATTGGTATACTTAAATGTAAAATCTCGTAAAAAAAATCGGCATTAAAAATACATAAAATAATAACTCGTCTCACCATAAAAGATAAAAAGGAAAAACCACTATATTTTTATACAACACAGTTTTCTCAAACTTTAGTAGTTTTCATTACCTTATTTATTTGTATAAAACAAATAAATCCAATTAACTGTATAACTACTGTTTGGTTTATAACTACTGTTCATAAAGCAATTAGTTTTCTATTGAATTTAAATAAAATGTACATCTAGATAAAGATTTTTTGATAGAGCATAGGATTATAATTAGATGCATATCAAGTCAAATAAATTAGCGTACAATACTCTTTATAACATTCATATAGTTATGTTGAATAGCAAAGATACAGAAAAGACAAAAAATCAATACGCGTGTATGACGTACCTTTTCAGAGATATAGTCACGCATATCACGGAATGTCTTTGGAACGGGTAATTTGCAGGCAGCACGGGTCGCAATGTAACTACCGAGACCGTGGTCGCGACCACGTTGTATGTCAATTGCTCGCAGGTCACTACCGAATGTTCTGTTGCCCCTATGGTGTTCCAAATATATATTGAGTACTAATAGTAATCACACAATTATACGAAAATGAAAATGTTGGCTCTCTAAAGTTAGACATCAACAGCCTCTAATAGTCCACTGCTGAACATAGGACTCTCCTTAGAAAGGCGGTTCTGGCCTACTGTACCACGCTGGCCAGACGGGATAGTATAGGTTTTTTTTTCAGGTTTACTTCCCTTTTTGCAGTGTTGTTGTCCTCCGTTGTTTCCTCCCTTAGTCGACTCTTACAACACTCACATAATGAACAGGGGTGTTGACACTCCGTATTCTTAAGCCGTCACTTCAAATTTTATATATTTTTATTAACTTCTTCATTCCCAACTCACTATATAAACAAATATTAGAAGTCAATTTTATCCTACTTCTTAGAATTCTTAGCTGATGATATGTGATTCATTTAACAATACTATAAAGTAGACGAGGACTGGTCGTGGAACTCTTTTGTACATTTACTTTGTTTAGCCATTAATACATTAATTCTTTTAGTTTTAATTATAATTCTTTTTGCATATAATATCAGAGGAGTTAAACCTCCCTAAAAAACCCAAAGAACAGAACAGAAACAAGAAAAAGAACAGTATTTAATGCTATAATTGAAGCCCAAACGGTTTTCCTACGAATCACACCGGCTGAGAAAATGCAGGGAGAAAACTCGCGATTATTTTCGAGATAAAAGCTTATTTTCTCGACAAATTTCTTACGAATTTCACTTCAGGGACTCTCATTTTCTTCTTTCTTTCTCACACTAGAACGTCCTATTTTTTTCTTCTTTAAAGTTGTTTTTCCTGTTTTTTTTTTCAAAAAACCGTTTTTACCACCTCTTTGTTTTTTTTTTTCAATAACCTGTATCACAATTTTTTCTGAAGTATTTTTTTAAACTAATAATTTTATCTGAATTTTTTTATGAAGTTATTTTGGCCCCCATAGCCTGTACTATACGCAATTTTACAAGGGCACGATGTAAGCGCGTAAGCGCGACGTGCCGCTAAGGACATTTAATGTTGTGACAGATTATTCAATCATACTAAAATTAAGAAGGTCACGTACTCAAGTTTTTGCAGAAAATTGTTAACTAAACACTATAAACCATATAATAGACTGCTTTGTGGCTGTAAAAATTTTACAATTTTGTTCTTTGAAGCTGATATTCATTTTATACGACTTTTATATATATACATACTAGCTGACCTGGCAAACGTTGTTTTGGAAAATACATTATTTCTAGGCAATATTGAAAAAACAATTTAGGGGTGGGTCACCCTTGCCATTTAAGGGTATGAAAAATAGATGTTGGCCGATTCTCTGACCTACCCGATGTGTACACAAAATTTCATAAAAATCGGTCCAGCCGTTTCGGAGGAGTATGGTAACTAACATTGTGACACAAGAATTTTATATATAAGAATAAGAAAGAGCTCAGGTCCTTAAATAAAGAAAGATATTTGTTTGTTAAATTAGTCTAAATCTACATTTGGAAGTTTACATAGAGGTGCGGCTTAGGTTATCAATGGGTACAGGACGATTTTCATTTATAATTCGGAAAATTGTATTATCTTAAAAATAGCGTTAATTTTAATTTGTAGGCCTTGTCACGGGTGGCTCTTTTTACTAAAAGAACTGATTGAGATGAAAATAATGTTACACTAAGATTTAATAATATTATTAAAATTAAAGTTTAATTTTTTGAGTATAAAATTGCTTACCTGAAAAGGTAATTCGTTAATTCATCGGTATAGTACTCATCACTTTCACTCATTTTTTGCATAGTAAGGCCTCTGGTCAACTCGTTGAAACTATTATTACTTTCCAAAATTGACGGTTTGTTCATCCAGTCGCTCAAGCGTACAACTCCAGCTAGTTCTTGATCTTTGGATATACGCCTTATTATAAAAAATCAAAAGGAATATATCTGTACAAGGTACATAATAAGTTTTGCGTTAAATAAGAGATAAATTGCATAACATATGAGTAAGGAAGAATAATGAATTAGGCGTTATTTTCGATTAAATAATTGGGGGCTTGAATCGTGTTCAAAACGTCTGAACTGATAGAACTCCCAATAATAGGTTACCTATAAAGTTGGAGATTTTTAAAACCAGCATTTTCTGATTTAATTATATGTAGATTTGTGCGCAATCCGGCATTCAAATAAAATTTATTCGAAGGCCATGCTATTTTAATTTAAAATTCAGTCATTTGTTTTAGATAGTGTTTTGGTTTGTGAAATTGCAATTGTTTTTGGCGCCATAGATAAATTGAAAATTTCAATTTTCAATTCATCGAAACATTACCGACATGTACGGGCCTAACACTGCTTGCATAAACAGGGTCCATTATTGTTTATGCGATTTAAATGTATAATTTTGAGTTTTATAACAAGCCTTGGCCAAGGTCTCGGTCGGGTCTCCTTTGAGGCGGCGAGTCTACTGGCCGGATCTCCACCGTGGGACCTGGAGGCGAGGGCCTTTGCGGCTCTGTATCAGTGGCGCAAGGAGGCGCGGGAGTAGGGTCGGTGTCCTGAGTCTCGAGAAATCGAGGATCAGAAATACCAACCAGGTCCTAGTGGAGGAGTGAAAGAAACGACTTGGGCAACCGAGCGCTGGGCACGCCGTTATCGCGGCGGTAAGACCCGTTATGGAGGATTAGCTCGAGAGGCATCACGGGATTCTCTCATACCGGTTGACGCAGGTGATCACCGGGAAATGATGCTTCGGAGATCATCTGTGTCTGATCAGCAAGGAGTCAACGCCTGAATGCCACCACTGCGATGGCCGAACCGTGGAGACAGCGCTCCATACGCTGGCAGGATGCCCGGCGTGGGTGGAACAGAGGCATTTCCTCGTGGCGGCCATCGGGGTGGGAGTTCTCTCGCACGGTAACATGATTGCCGCGATGGTACGGAACGAGATTTCGTGGAGCTCCGCCGTCTCCTTCCAGCAAGTTATGCTTGTTAAGGAGATGGCGGAGCGAGACCGGGAGAGGTTTAGAACTCTCCCGAAGCACCAGGCCCGGCAACGGGCCAGGTACCGTAGACGACTCAGGCGCCGGAGGTCGCAGAATGACCTCCGTCCTCCATAAGCGCAGGCCTGGGGATGGTAGGTGAGGCCATCTGTCACCCTAGCAGAAGCAGGCCGGGGTGGTGGCGAGACACGCTTCGAAGCGCGCGCCCCCCTTTCGGGAGCACAAAGTGGACATAGGGGTTCCCACACAGGAGGGGGTCATTTACGCCCGTAGATGCCCCGAGGTACGTCGGGGTATCAGGGTTTTCCTTCCTAGGGTACACCTGGTTCCCCGGCAATTGGTACCCCAGACGGCGTGCGGTTTTTTGTCGGTTCGAGTCCGACATAGCCACCGGCGGGTGGTATCCGAGGGGATTTTTGCACAGACAAAAAAAAGGGCTGTTATTGATAACACACTTCTTAGGATGTTGCATAACAGATGTGATGGATACATGGAAAGACAGGTAGGCAAAACACCAGACGATGCAGACGTAGACAAAGGTGGCTACATACAACCAAAATCGCACCGACATTATCAGTCTCATGTACTTTCTATTTAATGTTCTTGAGAGGCTAATAGATACCGCTAATAGATTCCGCAACAGATTTCAACTCTTTTCAAAATTTTGACAATTTTTAAGTGGCAAAAAATTTTACATCCGAGAGGCAGTACAAAATGATTTCTCTGAATTCTACAGAAATGGATAAATAAAATAAAAACTTTAAAATTTTCATACAAATCTCCAACTTCATAGGTAAAGACCTAATACAAACACTTAACTAGATGAAGATGAATTTAACAAGGTTAACAATTTAATAAAGTAACACTATTTTAGGTGGTGTAAGATTGATATTAATTACTTACCTTAAAAACCCACGTATGAGAGTATGGAAATACCTTAAGGCAGCAGTAGCATGTTCGTTAATAATAGAAGGGTCCTCGTTGGGATCATAATCATTAACATATCCAACAGCTCCAGGATAGATTAACTTTCTCTGCTTCATATTTTCGAAACCTAATGACATAATCATGCATATGCCGTAATAAGTGTATTGAAAAGTAAGTTTCAAACAAATGAATACGTTTTTAGATTTTGTTGCTAACATAATTTTTCAACTTCTATACTCAGTCTACTATAGATTTGTAAAGAACCCACACAACAAAAGCTGCAACCGCATCAAAATAAAATAGCATCTACCTATCTGAAAGTATATAACTGGCGTTAGAATTGTCTGCAGGTATCGGCTGCAGATAATCATCAAGCTCAATGTCAATTATTGTTATGGTTTACAGTTTATATGAGTACAATACACTTAATATGAAGAGCCAACTGACAGCTACTGTAAAACTTGATGGTGATAATTAGAATTTTATTATGGGTCGATACATTCTGTAATAATGAACAAGATTTTAGTTTATTCTGCTGCGAACCGCCTACCTGACGCAAACCCTCCTTGATAATTTTATCGTTTTCAGACCAAACCAAAGAATAATATAAATTGGGGTAAGATAAAGTGGCAGGGCGAGGGAGCGATGGTTAGGCATATCACAAGTCTCAGATTGTGCGTCCTGTGATCTGAGATGCTACTAGTTGAGGGACGCCAACTGTGTGCCATATGTACATAAATGAAAAAGAAGCCACCGTTACCATAGTGGATTGAAGAGGGCTTAAGAACAGGGATATTAACCAGACATTAAAGGATGCTTACCAAGAATATTAGGTAAATATTCGTAATAATTGATATGTTGCATTTCAGCGATGTGGATGCGTCTTGCTTCTTCGAAGAGTGTCTCATCGTTCCAATGCGGGTTTAAGTGTGCAAGTTCATTTGCTATGCGATTGTGGTTACGGAGTAAAATTACTTGTAGTAGTGTCAGCTGTGTATTTTGATTCACTCGTTTGTCACCTGCAATAATAACGTTTACATTTTTAACTTAATTAAATTTAACTTATTTAATAATTTAACTTATACTTCCTAATTTTACTTATTATTTACTGTCATCTCAGAATTAGACGGCAAATTTTTTTTACAAAAATTTAGGATTATGCTTTTAAGCACTTCTTTAATGTCATCCACTATACTAAGTGATGGTTGCTGAGTTATAGAACGGGTTAGATCTTAATATCTAACATAAACATACCAGCTAAATAACAAGGTTCGTCGTTTGACTTGGCCGAACACACTGACGTACTATCAGGTTCTTGAGGCGGCCATTCTTGTCCATTTCTGACTACTGTCAACATTCTACCACCTGTTTTAGTTCGTCCTTTTCGAGTTCAAATTTAAGAGTGTTTTTACTAAAGCCTGCAAGGTTTAAATGTTGTTATGAATCAATATTCAAAAGCAAAGATGCATGACTGACACGCTCGGACGTCAGTTGCATTAATATATCCACTTTGCAGTTATGAGGAGACGAGTTTTAGGACATCTGATGTCTGTTCAAATAAATATAATCTACTATATGTTACTCTCTATATTGCCGTAATACTCTGTTTTGTAATCCTTTATATAATTTGAACCTTTAAAATATATGACAGTATTAATTGACTGCACGGATGGAGTTTAAAATGAGGTGGTTTAAGCGGTCGCCACGCCGCTTACTACAACGAGTGTTGTGGGTTCGATCCCCACATGGGACGACACTTTGTGTGATTCACAAATTGTTGTTCTGGGTCTGGGTGATTTTTATGTCCGTTTCATGTAAGGTCCCCCACGATATAATTTATATTCTTAAAGATTAACTGTAAAACATTGCTATTTTTACTGATTAAACCAAGTGGTTTTTATAAAGTTTGTTTCTTTATAAAAACCACTTCACTTATTAAAACAAACACGAAGTTTAAAATGAGAGGTATGACGTTTTTTGGCTGAATTTGTAACCTAATTACTGATTAACTGTTCGAAAATATTATAGGATATAAAAAAATAAAGGTGAATTTGTAACCCAATTTGAAAAAGTAGGTATTCCATTTGCTAGAACGGTTCTTAATAAAAGAAAAAAATATGTAATGCAGACACAGTTCTTAAAATAAATAAAATAAAATTTAAATATGTACCCTGTGCCCAGAACAAACCCTTGACTTATGAGGCAACTGAACAACTATTAATTCCACCCATGTAGTGAAAATTATCCTGTTCCCATAAATAAGATGATTCACTAGTCAGAATGACTAAAATTAAATTAAATTAGCTCACTCATCACCCTAACTACATTTCCTCATTTTAACATCTTGCATACTACACATAGCATTTGCACTAGCACAATTGTCATCAATCAATGGTCAATCATCATCCGCCTACACAATTTTAGTTTATAGTGTCATACATAAGTTACACATCGATCGTAAGTATATTTTATAAGGATTTTGTTAAAAAAAGTATGTCTAAAGCATCTGACAACTATTTGATATGCCAAAGTTTATAATAATTAATTATTTCATATATATCACATTAAATACCTATGGCTTTATTAAAAGTTACAATGGAACATTTATTAAAATATTAGATTTAAATGAGTTAAAGGACTTCAAAAAGATAGTACCTATTATACAAAACAGAATAGAATACACTTAATTGAAAATACCAGATATATACTCGTATTCATCCTGTGGGTTTCGTAAGAGCCGACTAATGGAGCAAATTAAGCAGGAAAATAGCACTGCAAAGAAAAGGAAAACTTGACACAAATCCTATACCAATCCGTGTGGCCAGGGTGGTATTGTAGGCCAAAACCTCCTTTCTAAGGAGATGCCTATGTCCAGCAACGTACTATTAAAGGCTGTTGATGATGATGATGAATCTTTTTTAATAATAGTAATAATATAATAGTAATTTTTAATAATAGTAGATCAAACTAATGACCATGTATAAATCAAAAACAAAACATGTATATATCAAAATGTCCAGTACATACCCCGATTTGAGTCCATAGTATTGACAGGACAGGTTTGACAATTTTTTATCAAACGAAGAAAGTGGCGCTTTATTTTCTACTTGGTAACTCTCTATAGTACCATATAGGAGCAATAGAAGACATAATCTTGAAAAGGCCATTCTATCTGTGCTAAAAAAAAAAGTAAGTATTATTTAACTGTTAATTAAATTATTAATTTTTAAATGTAAATATTTAAATTTTGTTTTCTATCTTCAATTATCATAATTCAAGTGTTAATACCAAAATTATTCTTTAAATTCTAAATTAATTAAATTTGACAAGAATATTGCAGAAATAAAATCACAATGCTAATAGAACAAACGCCAAACTTCACTCAACTGGATTATTATTACGCTTGTGACTCGATAGACTGGTTGAATAGTAAAAGAAAATACTCTGTCACTTTATATTTATACGCAAAAAGTCACCTTACTTATCTATCAAGGTTGAAAATAAAACAACGATCCAATTTGTTCATTTAACGAGTTTTTCTTTCACGCGAGTAGCATTAGGTCGCTCACTGAGTCATTATAGTTTGTTGGTCGTCCCAGCGCGTCTGGAGGATCCATGTACCGGCTTTGTCGCAATGGAGCTGCTTCAGACTATTCATTTTTCTTTTTTTTACACCTGCTACTAAATGTTTTTGGAGTAGAATATAAATTTTGACCTATTACTTTCATGTCAAATAATTAACGCTCTTAAATTTAGATTGAGGAACCACATTAAAAGTATTGTATATTCTTGAATATCAACAGTACTGGACTGAGATTTTTAAAAGGCATTTACATAATTACTACTAAATGATACAAAATTTTCAAAAATATTCATTAAATACTTTCCATGTTTCAGGTGGCTCCTCAATTCAGATGTTTAGATTGAGAAGCCTCTTTTACATTGATATAACTTAGGATATATCTTACTATAAATTTCAGAATTTGTTATGCAAAATTATTTTGCTCAACTACTAAATGAGTTTCCGTTTGAAATTTGTTTAAAATCTGTAGTGGCTCCTCAATCCATACGGACATAAATTTTGCCGTGTGGAGAGACAGCGGAAAGTCGCGGCTGGTACTAGTCCGAACAAATGTTATAACGCAATCGGATCCTTCTGCGAGAACCTTATTTCACAGAAAGAGATGGCTCTGCTATCAGGCCCAATCGATGTTACCGTAATTTATTTATGTTTCATAATAAATTTTACATAGACATATGGGGTCTACCAATAAGAACGTCCTGGTTTAAAAATTGAATAAAACACCATTTTTTATGAAAAATGATTGAAATTGATTTATTTGATAGATAATTTTATGCAATTTATGTTTTAAATAATATATCGGCCAAATGACCGCCGCGGCTCTTTTTGCAGACGGTCACCCGCTCACGCCAATTTTCGATGACGCGGTGCACCATTTCGGCCGGTATGTCGGCTATGGCTCGTCGAATGTTGGTTTTTAGGTCACGAATTGTAGCTGGATTATTGCTGTACACTTAAGATTTAACGTAACCCCAAAGAAAATAGTCTAAAGGTGTTAAATCACACGATCTTGGTGGCCAACTGATCGGTCCATCTCGAAATTAACGACTCACCAAACTTTCCACGCAATAATTCCATGTTCACTCCAGTAATGTGAGGTGGTGCACCGTCTTGTTGAAAATGAAGGTCGTCTGCATCCATATCATCAAATCTCGAAAAGAAATATTCGGTTAACATCGAGTTATAGCGCTCGCCATTCACAGTAAGAGGGTTTCCTTCGTCAGTTTCAAAGAAGTACGGACCAATGATTCCATCGTACCATAAACCGCACCAAACTGTTATTTTTTGCAGATGCAATGGTGACTCATGAACCACACGTGGATTTGACTCACTCCAATAGCGACAATTTTGTTTGTTAACAAATCTATTGAGCCAGAAATTGACCTCATCTGAGAAGATGATTTTACGATGAAAATCGTCATCGGCTTCCATCATTTCCAGTGCATAATCGGCAAATTTACGACGGATACAATGGTCGAATGGCCTCAATTCTTGTGCCAAAACAATTTTGTATGGGTGTAGGCCCAAATCCAACCGCAAAATACGCCAGGTGGTCATTGGAGAGAGCTCCAACTCTTGTGAACGGCGTTGAACTGATCGATTTGAATTCGCATCAACACTGGCCTGAACGGCTGCGCTATTCTCTTCACTACGGGCATTTCTTTGTTTCACAGGCACAGCAGTATCGTGGAGAGTGAATTCACTTTCAAATTTTGTTATTATGCAATTTATAGCGCGCACAGACAGTAGCGGTAGGAGAACGCGAATTTGCGTAATAATTTTGGACAACTTCCAAGCGTTGGTTTAAAGTGAAACGTGACATGATAAAAAGGCAAACCTTACTGAACACAAATGTCAAGAGATGTTAAAGATCTATCATCAAACATGACCGCTATGAGCTGTCAAAATCAGGTCATCCCTATTGGTAGACCCAGTATTATGATCAACGGGCTAATTAAAGGTCCTCACTCTAATCCAATAAAAAAATCAAATGAAATGAACTAAAAAGAAACAAAATTAAATGGTTTATTCTGCAAATAGGTTTCAAGAACACTTTTGCTTGTCAATCTTTTATAAAGCAGATGAGTTTTTCCTGACAGGCTTAGCCCTGAGAAGAAAGGACGATAGTAAGTCAGGTATTATTGTCTCTTTTAAAGTTCAGAAATCTTCTTCAAGTACAAATACTCTCTCAGGAAAAAAGGCATAATATAATATTTTTTTAAATTTTGAATCACAAATTGAGTATTCGGTAAAAAAATTAATGTTAATGAATAGTAACAAATAATAAATTATCGTCACCTCAAAAACAAAAATAACAGACAAAAGTAAACATTGAAAATAAAAACATAGCATGTACATAATGAGCACCTCAATCCTTAAACATCATCGTTTTTACAAAGATTTAAAAAATCGTCACCATGCTATGTGATAGTACATGAAACGTGTTATGCACAGACAAATCTGGTTTCAAAGTTATAAGTCTGCCAGACGATTGAACAAAAATCGTGTAAAATCGTTTGTTGTGAAAAAAATAATCTTACTATTCAGAATCGCAATGTTGTCAGCGTTCAGGAAGCCAACTATAGTCTGTTTTTTAATCTCGGAGACTAAACTGACATTACGTGGGTGCTACTGTTTTGTGATAATTAAATAGTGTTGTTGATTTTATTGGAAATTGACGATAATAAAATCAAGGTATTCTTTTTTTATAGTAAATTATACTAAAGAATGTGTAGGTACTTATTTAAAAGGTAATTTATGAAATAATAACACAA